CTCAGCTTGAGGGGGGATAATAACAGATAGTATTAAATAAATAGTATTAAATAATATTAGTATTTACTGTGTACTAACCCTAGTCCTATTAGGATTAGTACTCCTTAATCCTAGTCCTATTAGGATTAGTACTCCTTCCTATATCTCCTATATATATCTCCCATGTATTCCCTTATTAGGTTAACACTTCAATACAATCAATATTCCTTCACTAACCAAGAAAAGCACAAGAGTAGATACTTTCTTACCCAACCTTGTAATCTTGGGATCCATTAGCCTCACAAAGGCTAGACAACCCCAAACTCTTAGATATACCAAACATGGCTTGTAACCATTCCACAATTCAAAAGGTGTCAATTTTACACTTTTTATGAGGCACACGATTCAAAAAATAACATGCAGATGAAATAGCTTCACCCCAAAAATTCAAAGGTGCATGTGACTCAATAAGCAAGACATTGACCAATTCAACCAAAATTCTATTTTTCCTTTCAGCTACTCCATTAGATGAAGGAGAGTAAGGAGTAGTAGTTTAATGAACTATTTCCAATAATCTTACAAACGAATTAAACTCATTTGATTCATATTCATGGCCTCGATCACTTATAATTCTTCTTATTTTTTTTTCCAAACTAATTTTCAACCTCATGGAGATAAGTTTTGAAATTTTCAATAGCATCACTTTTATTTTTCATCAAGTAAACATATGTAAACTTAGAAAAATCATCAATGAAAGTGATAAAATATCTATTACCTCCACGAGTTAGAATTCCACCAAGTTCACAAATATCAGTATGAAATAATTCTAACAAATCAGTTTTTCATTAAACTTGAAAATGAGGTCTTTTAGTGATTTTAGCTTTACTACAAGTCTCACGCTTTTCAAAATTCTTTTTCACCATTGAAATTAATCCTAAACTACTCATGATTCCAACATAACGATTATTAATATGACATAAACGAGCATGCAAAAAATTGGTAGAAGAAAATATATTTACAGAAGTAGAAGTTTTATTTATTTCAACATTCAACTTAAACATCCCATCACATGCATACCACTTCCCCAAAAAAATACCCTTCTTCATTATTACATCTTGATCAGATTCAATAATCTGTTTAAAACATGCTTTATTAAGAAGAAAACTAGACGTCAATTTTTTTTCTCATAGATCAATTATAAAGTACATCTTTCAAAGTTAATACCCTTCCAAAAGTAAAACACAATTCGACATCTCCTTTTCACAGCACTTAAGTAGTATGAGCACCACCAAGCATGATGGTTTTGGGCTCCTTAAAATGAGTATATTTTTTAAACTAGTCTTTGTCATAACAGATATGACGCTTTGCACCAGAATCAGTCCACCATCCATCAACATTCTCAACCATGTTTATGTCGGTAATCACCGCTACAAAAGGTTCATCGGTAACATTTGCCTGAGGGTTGGACTATGTTTCCAGAATTTGTGAAATCGAGCAATATGCCTACTCTTGCCACAAAACAAAGTATGGTCCCTTTTCTTGAACTTGGTGATTTTGTGCTTGGTTAATTTCACCATTATTTTTCTTGGGAGGTCTACCATTATTTTTCTTGAAATTTTTTCTTCTTAGGCTTCAAAGAACTACTTTTGTGAGTTTCAAGAGTATCATTATTCAAAGTAATTAAAATTAACTTCGTTGTTATGTTATTCTCTTGTGTTTGTAAAAGTGCATCTTGGCCCCTTACTTCTTCCATGCGGATTTTCATTGTCAAGGTTTCAAGAGTGGTTTCTTTTTGTTTGTGGCGCATAGTTTTTTGAAATTCCTTCAAAGAAGGTGGAAGTTTATCTACTATTTCACAAATAATAAGGTTATCTACAATTTTAACCTCTTCAGACCTAAGTCTTCAACAATCATGATAAAGTCTTGAGCTTGGTCTACCACTGTTTTGTTGTCCACCATTTGAAAATGAAAAAATCTATTAGCTGCATATTTTTTCGCTCCAGCCTCTTCAGTATCATACTTACTCTGCAATGCTTTCCTGTTTTTCTTTGCACTAGAGTAAATTCTATCATAATAATCATAAAAATCAGACAGATAGTTAAGAATATAATACCGACACTTATAAGAATCTCCTTCGTATTTTTCCACTTATTCTAGATGAGAAATAGTCTCATCATCATTCATAGAGGTGATGTCTTCTTTATTAGGATTCTTCTTAGTTAACACATAAGAGACATTGAGAAGACTTAAGTAGAAAAGTACTTTACCCTTCCACCTCTTAAATGAGTTACCATTGAACCGAAATGGCTTATTAAGATCTCTCATCTTGACATCCGCATTTTTTCAATTGTAGTCATGATGATTCTCCTTAAAATTGTTAGTGAAAACTTACAGGATAACAAAAATACAAGATTACAACTGAAAATGAAATAAATAAATAAAATCTCTTCAGATTGAGGCGCGAATATCTCGCTCTCTTTAAGGAGATTCAAGCCCACTACAACAAATATTTTTACCTGTCCAGCAGTATTCCTCTTTGACTTGTCCCCTCCAGGTTTCAATAGCCTTCACAAAGTATAATTCAACAACTATGGACAACAGTTGAGTAAAAAACTCCACAAATAAAACACTTTCCTTCAACTAATAACACTACAACCAAAATAACTTTAGCGGCATTAAATATTGACACTAATAAAGAGTGCTAACGTCTTTACCGACATTAGTTAAGTATTATTAGAACCAACGTCGCTAAAGGCTTTAGGGACATACACAAAGAGTGACAATCGCCGCCATAAATACATATTTAGCGACAATTAAGAATTAAATGTCGCTAATGGTCATTTTTGTTGTAGTTTAAGAACTCTCATTTTAACTAACTCTATTCACTCTATATTTTTCTCTTGTGTGTTATATATCAAAGTAAATGAAAACCATCTTTATTTATACTATAAGAAGTCTTTCTAGCAATGAATAGGAAGATAATGAGATAATAAATAGTAAAAATAAATGGTCTTAAGAGTTACATATGTTATAAGGTATAATAGAGGAATAAAGAATAAGATAAAGCAGATTGAATATAAAAAAGTAATGGTCATCTATGACTATTACACATTCTGCCAGAAACCACTAAGTGGTCAACAACATTCACTACATTCATTCTCTAATAAGAATGACAATTAAGCCAAAAACTAACGGACAAAAAGAAGTTATGCACCTAGGCTATTATGTCTAACTTCTTACATGAGTTAATTAGAAGAAGGGAAAATATTTTTAACATAATTAAAAATATTAAAATGCTTACAGAATCTCATTAAACCAACACTTATTACTTGTGATTAGAATACCTGAATGTGTGTTGAGAGGGCAACACACACCAAGTCAAATAAAAGAGTTAATATAATCATGTCACGTTTCAAAATGCTAAAAGAATATGTAAAGTCAAATAATCAAAGGCCAATGAAATTTATCATGTGAACAATTGACTTTTGTAACCAATCATCGTGTTACTTTGATTTGATTAGTTAAAACAAAAGTTTGTGTTTATTACTACTTATCAACCATAAAATTATAAAACATGGGTCTCAAAATTCAAGAAGAGGGATCGGATGCTAATAAGACATTAAAGAGAAAGCTCGTAGATTATACAACTTACAAATTCAAGCAATCATATTCAAGTACAAGTCAAAATCAAACTTTTGAATTCAAGTACAAGTCAATATCAAAATTTAAATTAAATTCAAAAGCGCTTGAATTAAAATTCTTAAAAGAAGATACAAAGGATTGTTATAATAATTTTCCGTTTTTGATTGTAATTTTTTTATAGGCAATTCTTTTTATTTTTTGTGTTTAGTTCTTGGTTTGATTTCATGTTCCTTATTACCTTTAAATCTATTTTTAATTAATTCATTAATTATTCTTGATTAGCTTTATGTATCAACTAATTTCTACAAAAATCTTGACTATATTTTTGCCTTGTATTTTATTAACATTAGGCCATTAAGTTACAATTTAAAATAACATAAGGTACTTCCTCCAAAAGACTTTTTTCAAGTTCTATTGTTTCCCCAGTATTGTTATAATTATTATAGATTCTCATTCAATCAATTTATATATATATATATATATATATATATATATATATATATATATATATA